TCCAGTTAGAGCTGAAGAAGCTTCTTGGATGAGAAGCAAAATGTTTTCAAAGAAAAGCAAGAAAGTTCAGTTGCCTTGTGAAAAAGCATCTTTGGGATAACTAAACTGGATGACTGAGAATCTCTATAGACATTTCCATTTAAAGAAACCAACAAGCAAGCTTATTTGATGCATCCACTGGATCTGCAATCAGAATGAATTATACTAATTATATAAAATAAGACATGTTTAATTCTTTCCCCAGGCTTTTGAATGTTCTCCCTCATGAGAGGGAAATGCATGCATAGTTTGTTTTTGTCCATGTGGAGGCTTGACAGACCACAGAAAGAATAAAGCAGCCACATGATCAGATTTTTAGATAAGTTAATAGCAAACTCTCATAGGTCTAGGAAACTTGAATTTAGGCCTGGTTTGGGGACAAAATTAGACTTGGTTTCCCCAACAAATGTCCTATAGACTGAAACAGGGAGACTGCAACTATATTGATGGTGTTTAATCTCTCAGCAGTTTTAGATAGAATTAATCAAAATTTGCTCCTCCATTTCTGTGTGAGTTTGAAACTGGGGGCAATACAATATTGTAATTCCATTCCTAATGCAAGAATGCTTCAGAGACTAATACTGGGAGACTGTACTTCTGCATACTATTGTGCGATGTCTCAAGATCTATTTTTTTCTCCAGGACTATTTAAGATGTATATGATACTGCTGGTAGAGTGGAGAGGCTTATCAAGACTCTTGAGGCAAAGTATCAATATCCTGATGACCCTCAGCTCTACTTTTCCTAACATCTGAATGAGCAAATGTTCTGCACTATTCTCACTGTACAATAAATTCAATGAGTACCAATACATTCAGGCTGACTTCTGATAGGACAGAGACTATGTGCTGTCTAAATACAAAAATTGGGAGGGAGGTGTTCTAGATTAGCATATATGCAGTGATTACATGACTGTGGGGATGTTGTGATGGTCGTGGGAGGACCTGTCGTAAATCACTTTTTTCAATGTCATTTTAGCTTTGAACAGTCATCACATGAATAGTTGTAAGTGGAAGACTACCTGTATAAGTATTTTATGCAGCACCCCTGTGATATATCCGGGGTCCTCAACCTTGGCAACTTTAAGACTTGTGGACTTCAACTCCCAGAATTCTAAGAGTCGAAGTCCACAAGTAGAGGACCCCTGTGATACATGAACATTCTTAACATTTTCAACAGCTATCTTTCTGATTATCTTTTTTGATAAGAGTTGAGCTTTCGTGTTTCTGTTCTTTCATGCCCATATAATGTATTCCAACAACCATTTAGAAATCAACAAAAATATTTTAATTTCCCCATTTCCCTCTATATGCAGTATAGAAGAATATTCATCTTTTCACTGAAAGTTGAAATTTTTTTATCTTCTTAAATATAATAAGCATACTAACTTTGATTAATATACAAGTAGTCCTCGACTTATAAACACAACTGAGCCAAAACTTTCTGTTGCTAAGTAAGACAGTTATTAAGTGAATTTTGCCCCATTATACGACCTGCCTTGCCACACTTGTTAAGTGAATTACTGCAATTATTAAGTTAGTAACAGAATTGCTAAATGAATCTACTTCCCCATTGACTTTGCTTGTCAAACAGTTGCAAAACGTGATCACATGACCCTAGGACACTGCAACTGTCATAAATATGAGTTGCCAAGCAGCTGATTTTTGATCATGGGGATGCTGCAATGGTTGTAAGTGTGAAAAACAGTCATAAGTCACTTTTTTCAGTGCTGCTGTAACTTTGAATGGTCAATAAATGAACTCTTGTAAGTTGAGGACTACCTGTACTAGCCATGTCCTTTCTTAAACAGAGATATTTCTGCTTGTTCTTTTTGCATATAAGACCCTAAATAACTTGAGATCAGAATTCCTGGCAGATTCCCTTCTATGACACAGACCTGATACAGACCTTACTAAAGCTGTGAAATGAAGTCATGTTGTTTCTGTCACAACTATCAGGCTGTAACCTTATGGTTAGGCAGATGATCAGATTTCTTCATAGTCATATCCACTCCATTCCAGCCAGTTATGGAATGCTTTCTAAATAATTATATCAATGATCAGCAGAGATCTAGCTGTCACAAACCAGTACTTGGACACTGTCAAAGTACTGGTTTTTGAGATAGTGTAGGCTTTCCAGCATTCTAATGCAGATGATGATGATGATGATGATGATAATAATAATAATCATATCGATATTACAACAGATAATTTAATATAATATTTACATTAGATAGTGATGTATTTTCAGTTATAATCTTTAAAAGTAACAGAATTATTCACATTCACTTCATTTATTTGACAAAAAAGAATTACTGAATAGGCATGCATGAACAAAAATGTTTTCTGATCAACAATATTTTCCTTATTTTTGTTTCATTTAAAAAAGAAGCAGATCTCAAATTTTCTCTGCATTTTCTGCTACAAAAGCAACATAATGTACAAAGAAACTAAGATTTGCTCTTTTGCTAAATCTGAATTTGAATAGAGATCCCTTTCCTTAGACAACAGTGAAAAATTTCCCAAATAAAGGACAAGATCTGCACTTACTCTTGGCTGTGAAGTGCTCTCAAATTAAATCAGTTTGAAGTGGTTTTCATTAAGATGGATTGAGTGTGGCATCGTGAGAAACACTTTATCAAATGCAGTGTTTTACTTAGTGATTAACTATATACCAGTTGATGAAGCTCCCCAAATCCTTCATAATCCCACCACTCCAATAAACATTTAATGAGCATATAAGTTCAAAAAGCCCAGCAGAGGATTTAAACTTTCAATCTTGTTTTTATTTACTCTTCCAACTCAATTTCTCACTTCAAGTTAAGATTGCTATTGCTTGAAGCTCATCTGTTGCCCTGGTAAAATTAAGTGCCCTGCACATCAGGACAAAACATATAGGTTCAGATTATAGTTTTTGCAGAGATAGAATAAGAGAAGATAGATAGATAGATAGATAGATAGATAGATAGATAGATAGATAGATAGATAGATAGATAGATAGATAGATAGATAGATAGGCAGGCAGGCAGGCAGGCAGGCAGGCAGGCAGGCAGGCAGGCAGGCAGGCAGGCAGGCAGGCAGGCAGGCAGGCAGGCAGGCAGACAGATATTCTTTTTTAAATAAAGTTGCTAATGTTCAAAAATATTGCTAAAGAAACCTCTTCAGAAAAACTGCAATCATAAAGGACAATGAATAGTAATAATAAGACAAACCCGCGATGCATCAATTTACTTTTTTACTCTGTAATTGTTATATTAATCTACAGAATAATAAATATCACACAGGGAATTAAGTATTCTCAAATATTTAATCCCTTGGGGAAGAAAAAGTGTACAATTTTTATTGATGTTTACAAGTTTTTACAAAATGAATATATGCTGTTAGAATGCATGCAAATGATCAAGGTTGACATTTCTGTAATATCACGTTATATTTAAATATTTAGATTTTTGATTGTATATAGTAAATATTTTTCCCTTGGATCTTAATGGGTGGAATCATCATGATGCTTGTTAGATATTAAGACACTGAGTACTGAGAACAAAAAAAAAAAAAGGATGCTGCTTGATATTGATTAGCCTTACATTAAGCATCTAAGCTATTCTGTACTTTATATGTAAATAGGGATATTAATTCATTTATTATATATAAGCTATTTCTTGTGTATGAGGACCAGTTTGATGTAGGCATCAAGCTAGAAACTGAGAGACGGTGACTTGTAATTCTGCCTTAGACACAAAGTCAACTGGTGATCTTGGCTTAGTCACTCTTTCACTGCTCAAGGAAGTTGGCAATGGCAAACCACTTCTGAAAAACCTTACCAAGAAAACTACAGGGATTTGTCCAGGCAGTTGCCTGGACTTAAAAACTGATTCAAAGGAACACAAAAAAACCCAATTTCATCAAATATGTAATTAAGATATTCTTACATTTTACAGTATAATAATGCACAACTTTGAACTTTCTCCCATGGTAATAATGAAACTCAGAATATTAATTTATTTATTATGCAAAAAAATCCACAGCTTTCATCTCATTCTTCATTACTGTCTCAGAAAAGATACATATGCTTTCATAACCAACTTTCTGGGAACACAAAACTGTTCTACCAGCTACCTAATACTACCATGTTTCCCCGAAAGACCTACCCCGAAAATAAAACCTAGCTTGATTTTTAGGGGTGGGCCTTATATAAGCCCTATGCCAAAAATAAGCACACACCTAAAAACCAAGCTAGGGTGGAGCTTACCATTGCAGCCAGGCCTCCCATGAATCGACACTTGCCTCACCTTGGTCCACTTTTTCTGCAGCCGAAAGAGCAGCTTCATTCTGCAGCTGAAAATGGAGCTCTGGCTTGCATTTTGCAGTCAGAGACCTTTCTGGAAGGCCTATGTAGCCCAAAACCAAGCTATGGATTCAGTCCATAGCTCGGTTCTCAGCTGCAGAGGCTTTTCCAGAAAGGGCCAGCTGGACGGGGCTGTTGGTGCTGCTGCTACGAAGTGAGTGGAAAAGACACACACACCCCGAAAATAAGACCTGGTGCTCTTTTGGAGGAAAAAAAATAAGACTGGGTCTTATTTTCGGGGATATATGGTATTACCAGTATTTCTCCATTGAATGAAGACTCTTTAATCCAGTGAAAATCAAGCATTTTTCAGAAAATTAGCTTTCACTTTTGCAGTCCTTTGCATTATTTCCCAGATTGTTTCAATAATCTGGGAAGGGATGCAGAAGACAGTGGATTGGCCAAAAATTAGTCCTTTCCAGTCGATGGCAGAAGCCACAACCAATTCAAAATGTTTTTGTTACTGAGCGAACACTACTCCATGCCCAATTTTCAGAAGAGACCTAGCAGCAGTAGCATAAAACTGCAAAGTACATTAATATGGCAAAAATTTAGAAGACATTTTTATACTGAGTTCCTTTGCCATCTGAATAATATAGTATTTAAAATGTACTTACATCTCTAGCTTTCCCATAGAATGCCTCTTGAAAGGCAGCTTCTAAAGATCCAATAAAAAATACTGGATGGCAGTCACCATATCTGTTTCAGTCCAAAATGTTTCAGTTAGTTTTTTTATAGTTTTTAATAACAAAAAGACAATACTATTTTTCCCCAAAATCACATATCCATAATAATAATTCCATCATAATTATTATATATCTAAATATCAGTATATGTAATATACATTCATTGAAAATATTTTTTTTTAAATTTCAGACTAAATTATATTGTAAAATTGAGCACTGGAAAGGGGATAAGGACTTTTATTCTTCATCATAAAAAAGACTGACATTTTTAGAAATCTGAAATTGACATGGCTCCATTGAGGCATTCTTTTAATTTAGCAATTAGTGTAAGCCTTCATGTTAAAGAATAGAATTCTTCTTTAGTTGTTTAATTCTTTTCTCAAAGATAGTGGTGGATTTAATAAGGGTAAACTTAATGGAAAATGCAGTTTGTTTATTTATTTTAAATTAGTTTCTTTACTAGACCATACAGCCAATGACCAGCAAGTAAAAAAAAACAATTACAAGAGAATAAGATATAATGAAAATATAATACAAGACAAAAAGAAAACAGAAGCCTAAAATTATAGAATATCAGAGAACTGGTAACAAGATATCAACAGCATCAGGGGAAAACCTTTTACTTCTGATTGAGATAGCAGCCGATAAGAATTTAGCCTCTCTGTTTGCAATAAATGGGTTCTGATCCTGCACGAGACATAAAGCTTCTCTCTCAGAGTAGAACTGAGTTATATTAAAAGTGGATATTAAAAAGGTAGAGTGTACAACGTCATAGAAGAGACGGTGGGGGGAAATGGGAAAAGTTGAAAATACTCAAACCGCAAGGACATTCTCTTTACAAAAGGGATTTTCTACTTCCTCCCCTCCAATACTTGAAATGTTGAAATGGACAAGCCAAAAATGGTGTAGCAAAAGCAAGACTGAATAGATACTTAGCAGGAACAAGGTGGTTCTAGTCTGTGACTAAATTGGTTGTAGTCAGTGAGAATCACCAATAACCCTTAGATCCAACTATCCTGCTGCATTATAAATTCACTGGCAGGTTTCTGTCCTGATTTTCTCTAAACCTAAAGAACTACATCCAAAGAGAAACTATAGAAACTTAAATTGGAAAAATGTTTGACTTCAGTTGTTAAGGGGAATTGTCAAAGAGCATTAAGGGGGTCAGTGAAGAAAAAAATTAACTAGTAAGAGAGGTGACAAGTGCAGGCTCTTTTCTCAAGGAAAAACATTCCTGATTCAACACATATCAGAGCATTTGAGATACAACTGAAAGAAAGTGGACACATTCTTGGAATGGACAATCTCTAAGGTATTGAAGATGTTATAAATGCATACTTATGCACTATTAAACATCTTTGAAAAAGTTTAAGCTTTAAACAGCGTTATGGAGCAGGGAGGCAACACTCCCGGAGCCCAATATGTCTTGGTGTTGTTATTATCTTGTCAGATATAGCTTAATTTGTTCCTGCCAGGTTGTAACCCTGGAATATAACGGTCAAATATTTAAAGGCAGAAACTTATTCAATGTGATGGTTATCAATGCAACAATGGTGTTTTCAGCACCTCTGTCTCTGAGAATACCATAATTTTAGCTTTAGAATAATTAATTGTGAACATTTCCTCCCTTCAAAAATCTGCCAATACCCAAAGACTTCTAAGGGTAATCTGAGAAAGTGAAAGGATTGATGTATCAATTGTATAAAAGCAGCATTACAAAATATCTTGTTTTGAGTTTGTGGGTTTATATGTGTAAAAGTTTCTTTTGGTTAAGGCTGTTATGACAGAATTCAAATAGGTATTACATTGAAGTGGGTCCTGTTTCATCCCTTTACTTATTGGGATATCTGTAGTAAGGTACCCAGCATTGTCATATCTAACCTGGCTGATGGTACTTTCATGTAACATCTTGATTAGATAGAGAAGCCATTGATCTATAAAGATGCATGATAGCGTCTACAAGAGCAGGTCACCCGAAATGGATCTTCAATAAGGTTTACTTGGGACATCAGGATGGACTCAACAGTTGGTTCCTCTCATTAGGTAATACTGCCATAAATTGGCCTCTGGGGAGTAATATGCTTCTGTGTCTGGTATCTGTTAGCAGTTGAACTGAAGGATACTGACGACAGCTTTGGTGTGCTCAGTGTTCTGATCAGGAAAGTGGGATTTTGTAAGAGATGCAAAGTCTGTTGATTGCAGGTGAGTTTCAGATGGATTTGCAGTTAGCTTCTAGGTACAGTCCTACTTTAAAAGTCTCCTTTTGGTGTAAGAGGACGGCAAGAGATTGAGTCATCATCCGTGCCAATCCTTCTAACTTAAAGAGTAATTCAATTATTTGAAAAGTTCTCATTCTTGAAGCAAGGATGGGAATGCTGAAAAAAGGTGAACTATTTTCTGACCAGGATGACTTGGAAGCCAGGTAACTTGTATTAAGACTATTGTTTGTAACTGGCAGCAAAGAGTTGCCTTAACGTGTAGCAAAAAGTCCATCTTGCAATATTAGTGTTATTAGTTAGGGCTGCTAAAAGTAATTGTCTGTTTTTGTAAACAAGAAATGAGTCCTCTTTCATAGAGGGGACATCAAGGTAATCATCTTTTTGTGGGTGTCAGCCCCTTGAAAAGTCAAATATACTGGTGGCTCAACTAGGAGGCAAGAAGGCGAAATTTCTTTGATAGTGAGCTAATAATATATGCCTAGACTTAGAGAACTGCATGTTATTCAGAAAATGCACATTTTAAAAAACCCTCGGGCAAAGGAGGATATTTCAAAGTGGCAAAATATGTAGTTCATTGAAAATATATTTTTAAATATTACTCAAACAAGGTTTCCAAATATTCACATATTTGTTCTGCCCCTTTCTTAAATATATGAATTAATCTGAATCAAAATTAAATCTTCAAAACCAAAATATCAAAACTCTGAAAAAATGAACTGCATGGAGTCACATTACCTAAATAAACTTCCAAGTGATCTATTTATTTATTTGACTGGATTTAGAGACTGCCCAACTTCCAACAATTCGGGGTGGCTTGTGTTTTTAATGGTAGGAAACAATTAAAGGGAAGGGAGGGGAAAAAAAGTCTTGTTCTGACAGAAAAAATCTTTTTTAACTTGGCCAACATGGAAAGAGTAGAACATAAGTAGGACCTCCAAGAAGATTGCAACCATAAAAAAAAATTCATGAAATAGATTGTTGCTCAATTCCAACACGAAAAAATACCTTTCATTGTCTGAAAGCCATTTATTTCTATGCCAAGTAGAGGAGACTGACATTGAGAAGCAGAATGCAATGAGCTGGCCTGTGGTTTCAGATCATATTCCCATGCTGAAGTGTGTGACAGGGAAACGAAAAGAAAAATAAATGGGAGGCTCAAACTGAAAATGAACTATACTTTAGATTTGCAAGTCCATTTCTCACGGAAAGGCAATGGAACTTTCAGGTCTCCACCTGATATTTTGTTACCTTATACAAACAAATACCGCACAAAATTTAAGCATGGTATATGCATGTATTAGAATTCGTTGGGAGAAGCTTGCTACCCTGTTTCGTGCAAAAGGAAGCAATGGTGATGATGATGATATACATGTATAGATTGTACTTAATTATAAATCTAACCTTGAAGAAAATTCTGCTGTGAATTGTAATAAGGCATCTCCTTCATTTTCAGCATTTTCCGGCACTACAGAAGGAAAGGAAAATATTGCAAGTAAATCTTAACGGGCAGGTTTAAAATATTTCCTTTACCATTTAGCCAAATTTTATGCTAGCTCTGCTTATCTATTTAATGAAAAGAAGATGAACTATTCTTTGAAGATGAATGAATGAATACAATACTATAATCTGTCAATACTATAATCTGAAAATACTAAGCAATTTATAAGTGGCATAACTTGATACAATAACTGACGCCCCTGTAAGCGACTGAACCCAATTTAAGGTGCTAGTATTAGCCTATAAACAGAAAATGGCTTATTACAAAGATTGCCTTTTTTCAATAAAATACAAAATGTACATTAAGATTAACTGGGAAGGTCCTGCATCTAGTGGCTCCAGCTTATAATGCAGAGCCATGAGTTGAATCTTCTCTACAACAGTGTCCCAATTACGGCACTTTCTCCAAGTGATAATTAATTGTCTTCTTTCAGAAACCAACTAAAAACACGACTGTTCATAGACATAGCCCTAAAAATTACCATTTCCTGGCTTTTAACCATCTTGGCTGATGAAAACTTATCAGAAACTTAAAATCTGCACTATTGTTATTTTCTCAGCTGTTATTTAGGTTATTTATAATTTGATATACTGTTATAAAGCGTTGTAAGCAAGTTATGTATTTGGAATAGGCGGCACAAAAATTCAATAAATAAATAAATATAAATGGAATTAATTAATTAATGATTATGTAAAGCATTAGTAGACATAAAATATGTGTTTCTTCTATTTTTAATACTATATACTATAATAATGTCATATTCTGTTAAAATATGTGTTATAATGAGAAGATCAGCAGAACACAGGAGCTACTGAAATGTATTATAGTATCTTATGGGAGGAAGTTGATGCATATGAAGACCAACTTCAGCTAAAGAACTGGCAGCTTTGATGTCACATTTTTGTGTATATAATAATAACAAAATAGAAGAGAAAGAATTGGAGAAAATCATAAAATACAAATACCTACAAATAAAAATAGAATGACAATAGCAAAAAAAACAAAGATAGTACTGATAGTAAAAGGTGCATTGGATGCATCCGAAAACATCTGGAACATCATTTGAACACTATTAGCACTGACAACATCACTATCAGTCAGATGCAAAATGCAGCTTACATCAGGGGTGTCAAACTGCCAGCTCATGGGCTGGTTGCACCATACAGAGGTCACGCCCACCTCAGTTCCAGCAATGTGAAAAAAGTCATGATACGTCGCAACACGTCACATGATGCGACGAGTTTGACACCCATGGCTTACATCATGCAACAATTCCTGTTACACACCATGAAACAACTTCTACCTATCCCAGGTCCTTGTGAAGGACATAATAAGTGGATAAAAATACCAAAGTCAGTCTAATGCTATATGACCAACCATAGTAATAATAATTGTACTGGTGGACAAAAATGCCAAATCCAGTCTAGACATCTGGCTGATTGTGCAACTAGCAATAACTGTACTGGTAGAGTTGCTTGATGGCAATATGTGCAGCATATAAATTTGCTAAATAAATAAATAAACAATACAATATAATACAATACCATTACCTATAATGGTTATTAATTTGTATTTGAAAATTAATACACCCAATTAATAGCTTTTTAAGTCAACCAAAAGGCTTTTCTAAAATATCTATTCAATAAATTAACAGAATAAAAATTTCAAACAGATACAGGTAAAATTTATTCACTAAAAATGTAAGTTTATTTGATTTAACCTAATCTGTTAATAGCAAAAAATACAAGACTCTGCCATTACTAATATCACAATAAAAATAGCATTCAGTGAAATAATCATGTTTATTCATGACCTTAAATAATTTTTGTTATTAATGAAAGTTAATAGTTCCTGAAAATCTCATTCCCATTTACTGGTTATTTGCCCAGAACACTTTTATATAATTTGCAACTTCATTTCCTTCTTTTTTTAAAGTTAATTTTGTATAAGAAACAGATTATATTCTCTATTATCTCTATTATATCACCCCAAGAAAGTCACACTGTAGTCTCAAAATGTATGCACAAAATCATTGAACACTGAAAAAAAAACTGTTTTCTCTCCCCATCCCCTGTTTGTCCAAAGATGGGCTTATACTATTCACAATACATAGTAATACTTACTCATTGGAGATTTTCTCAGTGCAGATGATGCCATACCAAACATCTCTCCATCATCCACCCCAAATTCAGTAGCATCTTCAAAATCATCTCCATCACTGTCACTAACCATATGTACATCTGTGCATTGCTAATTTAGTAAAATTGATAATAATAAGCCAATTATTGAAGAAACAAATGTCAATAGTAAGTTTCCATGTTTAAATCTAAATGTCACCAAATTTTCATCCAAAATCTTGAAATAAAATTTCATTTATTTTCTAATAAGTAAACAAGAAGCATGCATACTTTTTGAAAATCAGTGCAAATAATATAAGAAATTTTAAGTTTTTTAGAATTTTAGCAGTTATTTTTTATTTATATAGTAAAGAAATATTATTACACTAATGTCTTATTCTTTAGTTTCATTGTAACATCTTTATCAAATAATATCAAACAGCAGATATTATGCCATAAGGTCAAAGATAAGCCATTTCATTTTCAACAAAACTTTAATAAAAGTTTATCTGCCAACTGTGTGGGAAGAAGGGGTTGTCTTACCTCTTCTGATTGTTCTCTAGTTTGTGCTGGTGAAGACCTTCTTCCAACTGTAAGTCGATGGCAAGGATAAGAGATTCCTGAGGCTGCTAAAGTAATCTAAACAGAAGACATGTATTATTGAATTATCTATCAGATTTTGTTAAGCATCAAAAATCAAACTGCAGTAGACGTAAATATCAAGATACATTCTTTTTTAAAAATAAGAGTATTTTCAACCCTCTCCTTTTCATAGAGAGACTATAGGAATCTAGAATGAGAAGAAAAATGTTCAGAGAAAGGTAGGATAGCAATCTAAAACTAATGCGGTTGTCAGTGCTTCTATAATAGATTTTGTTTTGCAGTTAAGAATACTACTGTTGCTGTTAAGAAAAATCAAGCTTTTGATAGTGAGTGCCATACCATGTGCACTAATCAAACAGATGGTAAGGCTGAAGAGGAACTCAGACACAAAACAGGTTATGTAGAAAACAAACACTGGGTCAATCAAAAAGGACTCATGGTCCTTTGGTATAATGCCTATATACCAATGCCTAAAGTATGAGGAATAAACAGGGTGAATAAAAATCCAAGTACATGAGGGCAGATATGATATCACTGCCATTATGGAAACTTGGTGGGATGAAACCCATGAATGGACTATACAGCTACAGGGATTTAAATTGTTTGAAAGGAACAGACCCAATAAAAGAGGAGGTGGAGTTGCGCTATATAATATATATAATAACTATATCTCTACAGAAATACAGCAGAACAATGATGAAAACCATCTTGAATGCATTTAGATCAATATAAAAGGAAAAAAGAATGACATTGCCACAGGTGTATACCACAGACCACTTAACCAAATAGAGGAAATAGATGAACTTTTGCTAGTCAGTTAACTAAAGTATGTAGGAAGCACACCACAACAGCAATGGGGGACTTTAACTACCCTGACATCAACTGGGGGACAAACTTTGTACCTAGTGGAAGGTCAAACAGATTTCTGACAATCCTAGCAGAAAACTTTGTCTCCCAAAAGGTAGTGAAGAGAACTAGAGAGTCAGCCATACTGGATTTAATTCTCACTAACAGAAACAAAATGATAGAAGACATTGAAGTACAGGAACCTTGGGGGGAGTGACCATGAAATATTGGAATTCAATATTATACAAGCACAAGCAATAAAGCAAAGTCAAACTAGAGTCTTGGACTTCAAGAGAGCTGATTTCATTAAACCCAGATACAGCCTGAAAAGGATTCCATGGATGAAAATCCTCAAGGGGAAAACAACCCAAGAAACTTGGGACACTTTGAAAAGCTAGATTATATAAGCCCAGTCTAGCACAATGAAGAAAAAAAATAAGAGATCTCAAAAGAAGGAAACAATTGGTCCATTAATGGGAGAAAATGGCAAGAATGTGACAAGAGCAGGGACAAAGCAGAACTGTTGGATTCATTTTTTGCATCTGTCTTTACACAAAAGGAAAAAAATAGTCCAACCTATAAAAAAAAATCCTGTAAAATGCAGATTAGGAAGGCAAGTCAAAATAACCAAGAAAAGGGTAAGAGAACTCCTATCCATTCTAGATGAGTTCACTGAACTATATTTTTCAAAGATCCTGGAGCACCAGGGAACTATCAGATGACTGGAAAAGGGCTGATGTAGTTCCCATCTTTAAAAAAGGGAAAAAATGGATCCAGGAAACTACAGACATATCAGCCTGACATCAATACTTGGGAAAATCTGGAAAAGATGATCAAGCAAAGAATCTGAGAACATCTAGAGGCAAACAAAATCATAACCAAAAGCCAATGCAGGTTTTTCAAGCAATATCTCCATCAATGATTTAGACGAGGGGATAGAACGGGAACACATCAAATTTGCAGATGACACCAAACTGGCAACAATAGCCAACACTCCAGAAAATAGGCTCGAGGTACAGAAGGATCTTGACAGACTTGAACACTGGGCCCAATCTAACAAAATGAAATTCAATGGTGAGAAAAGTAAGGTTCTACATTTAGAAAAACCAAATACAGATATTGAATAGGTGGTATCTGGCTCAATAGTAATAACTGCAAGAGGGATATTGGAGTTCTAGTGGACAAACACTTAAATATGAGCAGTGTGCAGCATGCTAAAAAAAGCCAATGTAATTCTAGGCTACATTAATCAAAATCACGTGAAGTGTTAATACCACTTTATAATGCCATGGTAAGACCATACTTGAAATATTGCATCCAGGTTTGGTCGCCATGATATAAAAAAGATGTTGAAACTCTAGAAAGAGTGCAGAGAAGAGCAACAATTAGGGGACTGGAGACTAAAACATATGAAGAACAATTGCAGAAAATGGTATGTCTAGTTTAATGAAAAGAAGGACTAAGAGTGACATGATAGCAATGTTCCAATATCTAAGGGGCTGCCACTAAGAAGAAGGGATCAGCCTATTCTCCAAAGACCTGAAAGCAGGACAAGAAGCACTGGATGGAGAGAAACAATTTAGAACTAAGGAGAAATTTCCTGACACTTAGAACAATTAATCAGAGAAACAACTTGCTTCTAGAACTTGTGGGTGCTCCAACAACGGAAGTTTTTAAGAAGAGATTGGACAACCATTTGTTTGAAATGATATAGGGCTTTCTGCTTGAAAAAGTAGTTGGACTAGAAGACCTCCAAGGTCCCTTTCAAATCTGTTATTCTGATATTCTGTTAAGATACAAGAAGGTAAAATGGGATGGGATGAAAGTACAGAAACTGAGTAAAATAAGGGAAAAAGATATTGAATAGAATCAGTAGTAATGTTTTAAAGCTCTTATCAATGGAAGATATCTAGATACTTCAGAAATTTGAATAATACACTGTAATTTGTGAATGTATAATCACTGTTTACCACTCTATGTATAGAAAAAATGTCATAGTTAAAAAAAGACTAAAGTGTAGTTCTGTTCATCTACTGATGAATATAACTGGTCTCAGAAGGTAAAGCTGGAAGCTGAAAGTTTGATGTTTAGCTTGGTCAGAATGAGCTGAAATAATTTCTTAAAAATAATAACTTTCAATTATTTTCAGGTTCACTTTAGTAGTAAACCCCTTCTTTGTTGTATCTATTTCCATTTCTTTGACACGCAAATGGATATATAACTACCTTAAGGTATCTCCCCTGTTCCCTACCATGTAAATATGAGTATATAGCCTTGGTTAATAAGCTGCTATGCGATCAAGTTCCTTCAAGGTAAAAATGCACATATTATTGAAAACGAAGACATCAACAATGAATTGTGTCAAAATCAGTTTATTACAGTAACATTTTAAAATTGATTAATTTTTCCATTTAAAACACAGAAAATGTTCTACCTTCCATGTCACTCTATATATAATCCAAAGCCTGGCAAATACATTGGGAAAAACTCCTTTTTATTCCCAATTCAGGGTATTTTTAATCACTTATGAGCTAGAACTCATAAAAGCCTTAATTTCCTTCAGGTTAAAGGAAGCTGATTAAGTGTGCTAACTAACCAAGTGAGTGTTGACCTGCCTGGACTAGCCTGTTGACACATTCTTGTAGCAAGGTTAAATAACAATTTAGTCACAATTTTAAAATCACAGAGTTAAAAGGAAATGACTATTTTTGAATAAATGAAATATTAATGCAGACATTTATGTCAAGCTCAATTATCAGTGAAACTCTTTCATACCTAACACAGAATCTACACTCACTTTTGCAATGGTGACACTGCTATTTTCATCATGTTTTGTTCAGTATGTTGTTGGGCTCTAGTATATAAAAATAAATTCCTCATGTGAATTTTTGCCTATATAGCTAAATATATCCAAACCTTCTAAGTAGCACACTAAAAGTGACCAATGTGAACACATTTAAGTACACTTGTCATTGTGATTAAGTAATTAGAGCCAAAATCTCACAATGAATAGCTTCTAATTTTCACTGGCTTTATCCAGATTTAGGAATGCTTGGTAGAATAAAGCTTAAATGACTAAGTATTATCAAACTGAGACTTTATCTTTAAAAAGTAAGAGCATTTAAAAAAAGACAGACAAGTGAACATGGTGCTGGTCATTTGATGCTCCTTTGTTCCATAAGATCAATAGGTTTTTAGATAAAAACAGAATATCCTTTTTTCTTTTTTATTCATATTTTACAAGATATGGAATTGGGAAGAGGGATCAGCATGAATCATCCCTATATGATCAAATATGAATTTCAACTACTAGAATTTTGAACTCAACGGAGTAATCAGTAAGCATTTTTAGATTAAAAGTTTATACAACTGAAAGGGGAAAGCCAACATGGCATTTAATATTAGGAGATAATTAAGATTCCAGAGTTATTATGTTTTTATATCCATGTATCTGCAATATTAACATTTCAATTTTATACTTTTTAACACTTTAATCCATTAATGCATTTAATAATTATCACTATCACTGCTAAAATAGCTGTTGTTAAAAATGACAACATTCAAAGCAAACTATGAATTTAAGCAAACCATTCCCACCCAATAAAAGAAAGACTAGATATAAACAACAATCCTTCATACTACCTAGGTTTACCAGTGATAGATAAAACTTTTTAAAAGCCTCTGAAATCAATCCTGATTTTTTTACTCCAATGAATATTTGCATGTAACCTACATGTGTATATGCATGCACAGACATGTGTTTATGTACAATGGCTAGAGACCACACTACAAATAAGTAACATTAATTGAATTAACTATAATTAAAAGTAATTACCTGTAAAATAAAGCAATCAATTTGCAAAACAATAGACATCCTATCTAAAAATCCAGCCTTAATAAATTCTTTAACATTCAAACTGGACCACTTCACTCTATCAGAGATTGACAGACTATGGAATTCTGGACTCAACAGGCATAAATCTTTATAAATCATATTGAGTTTTAGTGAGTTTCTGCAAAGGAAAATATCTTCATCCAGCAAGACTCCACAAACTGAATTTTGGGAATTTCCTGAAGTATTGTTGTGAAGAACAACAATAAAGAAGGATTTCCCGCGCAGATATAAATTCTCCACTCTTGCAGGGCTTCAAAATGAAGGTAATCTAATTTGATTTCACTACTTGCATCTC